ATTCAACATGATTTCACTCTCCTTGATTTATTTGTATTCCATTGAAATTTACATCAACCAGATTAGAACTGAAAAAATGATTGACAACTAAAATATTATGGTATTGTCTATGCGTTGTATCCTTATTCTTCCACATAATTGATTTCGAGTTCGAAGCACTCAGACAACGACCGATCCAAGCAATTGAAAGCATTTCTTGAAATTATTTCTCTTCGGTGCTTCTCTCTCCCTCTCTCTCTCTCTCTCTCTCTCTCTCTCTCTCTGTTCCGTCTTTTTATTTTATTATTTCTATGTTTTTAACGAAATATGCATGAAAAATGTGTGAGCATTTGAGAAAGCGTCTCCTTTTATATTTAATAGTATTTATTCATCTTTTATGATTATATTCTTGCATTCTTTTCCTCATTTAACGCAATTTTTGTATATGTGTGTTGCGCTCGAGCGCGATCTTTCCTATCTCATACGTTAAAAAAATACAGTCTTTTTTTGTTATTATTTTATCGCACGGTATGACTTGTGCGCGCATCATTTCTATCTCTTTTTATCTTGCTCTTACTTGTGTCGCATCCGATCGTTTCGCTATAGAACAAATCAACGGCCAACAAACAATAACAAAAACAACAACGAAGACAACGACAACAATAGCAATAAGTGCTCAATAAATTCCATGTGAAGAATATGAATATAATTTTTATTAATGCAAAAGAACCGAAACGAGAAATATGATGTATGTACGAATGTGAGTACTATTACGAAAAAGAGTCAATTCAAGAAATATATACATGGGCAAACTATTTAAATGATGAACACGGTTTTTTTTTATTCGTGTGTGTTTAGTTGTATTTCAAATGCTTGTTTCACACTGAAAAAAAAATCGAGTGAGTTAGCAATATGTTGGAGTTGGTGTGTATGTGTGATGTGTCTTTTGCTTTTGATATTTTCTGAAGTCTCGATTTATATTTTCATGCATTTATATATGGAGTATATTCTCTCACTTCAATCGACACGATATGGAACATCATGCACACACGCATTTGAAAACGCGCGTCGCTTTTTTTTTGGGAAGCCAAATAACACGACAACATATACAACGAATTGAAAATGTTGAATATTTCTCTTTTATTTATCGTATTATTATTTTTTTGTCATTCTGTCTTCGTCATTTTCTCCTGAAAATTACTTTGATTGTTTTCACATCGGTACATGCATAATCATGGCCCATACTTTTTATTACTCGATTCGACTTTGTCGTTTTTATTTATATTAAAATGTAAGTCAAAAATTGTAAACAATAAACAAGCAGAAAAGAGAAAAATATGAGGTGAAACATCATAAAAATCGTTTACAATCCGATGCTATTGTTTTCGGATACGGTTTTTTAGTGTTTATCAGTGCTGTCAATTTGTTTCTGCGAATCGTCTTCGATTCGACATATGTAAATGTAGTTTTGGAATTGTAAAAAAATGATGAAAACCAACTGCAAAAAAGAAACATTGATGAATTGTACGACTCCAACGCTGATCTCGATTTGGACTTTAAAGTGTATAGACATATAGAAATCTTACAAGAATCAATGATGAATCGACTATTTTTAACTGACTGACTAATAATTCATATTGCAATTGTCTTTGTACCAATTGATTTTGATTTAATCTGAATACGATGTATTTTTGTTTCTTTTTTCACTGAAAAGTTCTACTCGATCAAATTGGCAACGCCAATTGTTTTCCAAATAGCAAAATAAAACCGTACGAAAAATTTGCAAAAAAAAAATACACCACACGCTTGCAAAATAGCTCGGATTCAATCGCATTGTAATGTCAAATCAACATATCACACCATTCCGTACAATTGGCGATAATTGGCCATTTTCTGATGTTTTCCAATGCAAAAATTAGCACAAACATCTTTTCACTCGAAAATCCATGTAAAATAACACCGAACGAGAGTGTTAAATCCTCGATTAAAGATGATGTGATGTGGCTGAACATTGTCTTCTTACATCATTCACGGCCGCTGTCAGTGATGGGATGATTTTCATAATTTATTTAAAATGCACAACAATTTTCGATAAACTGTGAATTCACTTAAATATGCTATTCTTCGTATTTTTCAAATTTACATGTATTCTTTCACATCTCGAAACAATTTTTATTATTATACATATAGTATTTCTCTTTCGCGCGCGGTCTCCATTCTCAATCTACTAATGATTGAGATTTTTTTTTATTTACCTATTCGTCTTGTGCATTCCATCAAAATCGGTGATCGGGTTCAGGAAAAAATGTCGCATTTCTTTTGTTCAAAATCTTTGAACTAAAAGACGGGATCACGGAAAAGTATCATATTTTGGTGCCGACACAGCACACAAAAAAACGCATCGATTAATAATGATCAAAATAGTGAAAATAACAAATGAAAAAAAAATCGAGAAAAAAATATATTCACACGTTCTCTTCGGTGCATGCATATACGGTGCAGCGACATTACGTCTACCACCTTTTTTTACCCGAAATGTAAAATGATGACGGCAAACGTGTGAAAAGGATAAGGTTTTGTGTGTGTATGTATGCATTTATGCACACAGGGGCTTGAAACACACCGATGAGCAAAACGGAAATAATAAGAATCGGTAATGATGCAAGAGTCGACGTTGACGTGGTGCACCTTTCTAGCATTCCAGTAGTGCGATTACCAAAAGAAAAGAAGATTAATTGTTATTAATGCTAAATGATACTTTTTTTTGGCTTCGTCGTCTCTTGTTGTCAACTGTTGCACTCGGATTTTGCAAGTGGGGTTAAACTATCGAACGGCTCTTTCGTATTGCATTTATTTATTATTGGGAAAAAATATGATCGATTGGAATGAAGTCCATTTTTTTCGGAATCGTTTTTTGATACGCTTTTTTTTTGCTGCGGCGCAGTTTGAACGGCATATCAAAATTGAGAGTTTAAAGACAATTAGATTGTTTTAAACAGAGAATGAGAGTTTACACAATGTGTATATATATATTTTCGTTTTCAAAAAGAAATTGAATCGATGGAAGAAATCATTAATTTATTTAGAAAATCGATGAAAAAAAAAAACAATACGAGCCGAAAGAAGTAAATATTAAATGTAATAAACGTCAAAACAACGCAACGTATTATTTGATTACAGTCGAATAATTCATGTAAAATCGCTTTTTTGGCAAAATATCAATATTATCGAAACTTATACATGGTGTGTTTTTTTATATATACAATTGGTTACATTGTTGCCGCTCGGGGTAAACAAAAGATTAAGTGTGAAAAATTCGGATTTTTCTTTTCGAACGATAATAATAAAATTTATTTTTTGAAACTCATGAAATTCCTTATAGATTTGTTCCGCGAACATTGTCATCGTTTTTGGCCGATGATTCTGATATGAAATTTTTTTTTCGTATCATTTATTATATATACAAAAATGTCAATGCTGAAAAGGTGGCTGTATTCAATTTAAAAACAGTTTTTTTATTCAAACAAAACAAAAAAAAAAAACCAGTGAGAAAAACATGCCATCGAAAGGCCAATCAAAATGTGAATGAAGGAAATTCTCTCACGTGCCCATCATTCGCCTAAATCGATAATTTCAGTGCATTCAGCTTATTTTTGAATTAGAAAGAGAAAAAGAGATAAGAGACATTAAAATCGAGAACCTTGTGATAAATGCACACATAAACGAAACAAAATCATTGCAACTAAACACTGAAAAATTCATCAAATATCGTACCGAAAAATTCAATCGAAATGAGACCAAAACCAAATACACACAAATCTAATAATAATGATGTACACACGGCAATCGAATTGACTTTTGCAATGATCAACACTGAAGAACTAAAATAGCGAACATAAACAACAATATTTGCGCTGAGAAACGACGAAAAAAAAAACAGCACACAAAACAACACTCAAATAAAAACGGCGAAAGGTGAATCACTGTGTATCATCAACGGTAACAAACGACAACGATCGAATCGATTGCATTTTTAACACAAAGTCATTTCAACACATTTCAGCGAATATTTTTAGCGAATTTTGTTTTTGTATTTGTTCTTGTTTTCTTTTCTTCAATTGATTTTTTTATTTCAACAACAAAATGCCGAATTCGCATCGCTTTTTCGAAATTTCAACTATAGCCGCTGCTATTCTATTAATTGTAGCCGATGCTTAGCGATAAAAAGAAAATCAATTCACGAAATTCGTTGAATATTACTATTGTGATGGCTTTGAACAAGTGCCAATTGATTTGAATATTTGCAATGTGTGTGAGATACACACAATCGTTTGATAATGCTTCTTTTTTCGACTTTTTTTATTTCATTTCGATTAAATTCTGTTTCACGTAATTTTTCGTCGCTTTTCGCCAAATACTTTTTTTTGTTTCGATTCACCACCAATACAAAATAACTACATCAGCGCACATATACGCATGCATAAATGACAAATCAATGCTTATCGACAACAACACAAACAAATTAAAATTCAATGAAATTGTTTTTTTTTTTACTGTGTATCACAAACGGTGATTGAAATTCGATTTCGTGAATTTCAGTCGATTTTATTTGATATTTTTTTCTTCATTATGCGATCGAACGATAGAAAAAAAAGATCGATTACGAATTTTGTATCGAATCAATCGATTGTAAGAGTTGCAAGTCAAATTTCCCATCGAATCGGTTCAAGTTTCTGGTGCGGAGTGTGTGTGTTTGTATCGAATACTGAAAAAAATGAATAATAAAATAATAGTGAAAACGAACGGTGTAATTTAAATAGGCTAGTGCTTGAGTAATTCCCTGTTTTACAAGGATCTCATCAGATTCGTGAAAACTGGGTAGAGAAAAGAAAATGGTCCAGTAAATTAATCACTTGTGATTCAATTTCAAATTCTCTCAATTTTAAGAAATTCAATACTTTCCTGCATGAAAAAAGAAAACCGTTTTATCAATAAATTTCATTTTTTTTTCTTTCAATTAGAATCAAAGCCAGCAAAGTGGAAACTTACTGAAAAACTCAACAACAACGACGACGTTCACATTGATCAGTGTGATTTAGTGAGAAAAGAGGAGAGCAAATAGAGATATATAGAATGAATCGAGGCGATATATTGGCTAAATTACAATCAACATCGGCAGCTGAGACGCGCACACTGTCAATAACCGATGTTGCCATTCAAAATAAAAGCGATACAACAAACGCATTAAATGTATTCGATGCACAATCCGTATTTAAATTGATTTCAAGTGCAAGCGATTTAGAGCATCGCTTCGATTTAGACAACGATTTTGATAGTACAAAAAATAACAATACAGCAACAGCGCAACAATCGTACTTTGACATGCATGCAACGATAAAAAATAAACGAAAAAATTTTAAACCACGCAATGCAACGGCTGTTGAAGAGATCACGACTGCGACAACAGCCGCAAATACAGCTGCCGCCGTCGAACCGTCACTCACTGACCAGCTCATTCTCAATTTGATGATGCAAAATAAAATGAAACAAATTCAACAAGAACTGCATCAAGGACAATTGAAACGATGGAACGACATTGACAACGGCAGTAAACTTGACCAGCAAACCAGTGTATCGAGCGACCGCATCAATTCCAACAACAATGAATCATGCAACATTCTTAAATCACCACCTAGCTCACCATTGGCCAATGGTCATGGCACAAGTGGCGGTAAGTGTCGCATAATACAGGAGACTTTCTTTCGTCTAGTTTTTGAAACTTAGAAAGCAGAAAGAAACTTAGAACAAAGAGGAAATGAAAATACATTAGTCGAATTTTTTTTGCTATTTGAGATTCAAAAATTTTAAGAATCGATAATAAGATAGAAGAATATTACAAAAATCGTTATCTACTAATATTTACAGAAAACGCATACAATGCCGTTCAAGATTTACTCTCCGTTTATGGTTTGACGATGTCACCACATGATATAGTGGACGCATTTAATAAAAGAAACGAAGCGGCTGCATCGATTCGTGATCTAGCGAATAACCGTGAGTATTGCATTTTTCTTTTCCACTGCAACCATTAATCGATTTAAGTTTTTTTAACGTTGCATCTTCTTTGGTAAAATTGACTGCTTGCTGATTTTCCCATGGTATGATAGTCAGTTGCGTATTTTTTTTTTTCATTCGAAAGAAAAACAAATGAAAGTGAAAACGGCTGTTTCCTCTAAAGAGTGTCTTCTTCATATTGGTAAAGAAGAGTCGCTTACAAAGTAAAAATTGCATATGTTTTCACAAAATTCAATTGAACCTTTCCGAAATTCTGACTGAAAATAGATAGATAGTCAAAAGAAAATGAAACTTAAAAAAAAGAGAGCTAGCGAGAAAGCAGTGAGAGATACATAAAACAGATAAGGTCGTGTATGCTTCGTAATACTTTTTGCACTCTTGAAATTTCATTATATCATATTTGTTTAGTGTGGAAAACATTGAGACTCGAGTAATCGTTTGGCCTTTTTTTACTCTATCGTTCCCTTCGTTTTGATGTGGAAAGAAATAATATCGAAGAAAAATCCAGCGAAAAAAAAATGCGAGAATTGTGAGAAAGATCTCTTTGGTTCATCGTTTTCTATTGTTTGTGTTGGATAATTTATATAATTTAATGAAAACGAAGGACATAGGTTAGAAATATTAAGGTTAAATGATTCACCCTTATTCACCCTTGAACGGTATGGTTTTATTGCTTGAATTGCTTGCGTGTGGAAATGTGTCCCTTCATCTCTGTCTTCTCTTTTCTTATTCGCATCTTATGCGCTGTGCAATTTCATCCCATTTTCATTTCGATCGGATTAAGTGTCGGCCAGAATGAGAATATAAAACTACCATATGAGCCTGTATAATGGTTCAATTCACAGGCACAGAAAATTGCGTAATTCCGATGATGAGTTTCGCTCTCTCTCTCTCTCTCTTTCTCTTCTCATTTAGTCTCGGGTGTCGCTTCGCATGTGTATGAGTGCAAGAGTTCATCAATAGCTATTCGATCAGGTTATCTTTTTAACATTTATTTTTTTTGGCTGCGTGTGTTGATTTCTGTTTTTTTTCTCGGTTTCGAATCCTTTTTTCCGTACTTCTTTTAAATGTGGTTAAAGTTTTTCATCTTTTTGCTTTATTTCGATGTTCGTGTGTCACGTTTAGATTTCCCGTCTGTTGCATTTTGTGTGCAAAAGGGGTTCAATAATACACAACATCGTTAAATTTAGCTAATAGCATTTGATTTTTTTTCATTTCTTTTCGGGGTTTCGTCGGATTCGATTTGTTTCCACTCATTTTTTTTGGTTGGAATATTCACATCGAAAATAGTAAACATAACGCGAGGCTGTCTTCCGCTGGTAAGAAAAGAGAAAATCGAGAAAACAAAAGACATGCCAGGCAATACGGAAATATTTTCATTTGCCCGTTGTCGTTTTATGTGTGTACATATTTTGGGGTTAGAAAAAAAATATCATTTATTTTAGTGTCTCATTACGTGCACATATATTTTATATGGTTTTGATGCATCAAATGCCTGCCAGCACGATTACTTTTTTCGGCATTCGATCGTTTTTTCTTCTTCTTTTTTCGTTCTGGAAAATGAAATTTTTATATTCGTGTGACAGTTTTTCGTTTTCACATAGGACGAAAAAAAAAGTTGTCAATAACATAATTTTAACCCGTCCATTTGAAATTGGAAACACGAACCGAAACAAACACCAGACGAATTTTTATTCAATTTTATCGATTTGCAAAGCCAAAAGCAAATAAATTTCGCCTCGAGGCTGGAAATTTAACTTAAAATAACTATCTAACTATCTTCTTCAGTTTTTTTTTTCTTTTTTGAGAACATACGTCTCTTTTGTTCCGTTCAGGAAATCTCAGTTACTTCTGAAAAAATCCGGTAATGTTACGTTTTCAGCATAAAAAAAATTATGCTCAAAATACGAAGCAAATAAACGACTTTAACGGAACCTCAATGATGATTTAGTTGTTCTTGACTTCTTCTTTTGAATAAAAAATGCCACTACGGCGACTTATTAACGAGTTTGACTCGAGGAAAAGTAAGTGGCAGGTAGTGGTGCGAAAACGGTCACAACTTCGTACAAAAGGTAATATAATATCACATAAAAGAAAAAAAAATGAAATTAAACTATCGCCGAGCGCTGTAAATCAGCCATTGAGCCGTTTTTCAGTTAAAAACTACAACAATACAATAATGACCGAATCAAGTTTTTTCGCCGTTGACGGCAAACATTTGGTTGACAGTTCACATTCGCAGGTAAATTTCGACGACTTATATGAATATTTTTGATACAGTTTCGTATACCGCACACGCATCCTCTTTCAATATCATTCAACCGAAGTTGTTATGTTCAACAAATAAATGGAATCATTGTCTTATTTGTTGTCTTGCGCATGATATGGATTCAGTAGCAATAAATTTACCTGATGCCAATGTCAACGGTTTTATTCACTTAACAAATGAAATGATTTTCAACATATTTTCATCAAAATAACTGTAAATTTATGCGACCATCATAAATATGAACAATTTTCCAATGAAAAAAATACTGAATGCCATGAGAGAAAGAGAAAGCGAAAGATAACTCGATGAAAGATGCATTTCCAATTCGTATGCAGAAAGCAAAAGAATGTTTAATGTATCGTCATTACATTTGTATTTCAAATCTTTTGGGTGCATTTCCAAAACTGATTTTCTCATAATAAATTACTTGCTTGAAAATGGATTGTATTTCGTCTTCTTAGGTCTTTTTTCTGCTTTACAGAGGATTCTCTGCAGGCACGTACTGTCTGATAGCATCACATCGACACAATTTTACCATAGGGGTTAAATGATGCATCTTACGCTAAATTTAGTGTACACATAACTTCTGATACTCTCACTCTTTTGTATTGTGCTAAAAAAAATTGTACCCAAATTTCGTTTCTCTGTTTTGCTTTGTAAGTTTACATTATGCATCTTTCCCTTATTGTGCGCACCGCACTCCGGAAAACAAAAATCTTCAAAAACTCTTTTCACATTTTTAGAGACGAACGAAAGAATCAGAACTCGTACGATGAAAATCAGAGTAATGCACTCACTGTGCATGTAAAGGGGCAAATGTCGAAGTCAGTGGTGTGCATGTGCATTTTAAGATTTATGTGTAGCACAACACATCTCACCCGTCATCATCGAATGCGACGACGACGATGACGACGACGATTGCCATTATATACGACTCAAAAGGATACCAAAATTCAATTATTTTTCGGTGTTTTTTTTTTGTCGTGAACTATTTAAACTTTGTATTACCTTTCATCTTTTACCTTTTACCTCGATTCAAAATTCCCATAATACACAAGACCCTTTGGAATGATTTTCAGCGAAAATAATAACAACAATTTTTTTTTTTATAACAACAACACAAGTCGAGCGAAAGAAAGAGAGACTTTCTTTTTATCTTTACGGTTTTTTACCCAATTTTCATGCGAAGCATCATTCGACAAAATATTGTCATCGCTGTACATCTTTCTCTTTCTTTTTTTATTATTGATTATTCATCTGTATGCTTCACCTTTTGATACTTTCCAAATTACTGTCTTTCTCTTACACAGTGTCAGTCTATTTAGACGAAGTTTCACCAGCGTAGAGATCAATCTTTTTTTTTGCGATAAAAAGATAATTTTCTTTCGAAAGTTGTTCGTAACAAAATAATTTGATTGGGATATGGGGATGGTAGTCAAAACGGTAAATTGAACTTCAATAAAAATAGACAATAACTAGAAAAAAAATTCTTAATTTTTATCTTGATTTTTTGCGATAAAATGTCTTGAAATTGTTTGTTCCCGTTGGCTGGATGTCTTCAATATGCTCTTGTTTGTTTTAAGTTCAATCAATGAGATCCTTTTTTTATTCGAAAACGCGAAACATTAAGCCACTTTTCTCACTGCACCAATAAATCAGAAGTATTGGAAACATTTAAATGAATTTCAAACTTCTTCATTCTTCAAACTTTTCATTTCCCAGCCGTATCACATTTGTTTCTTTACCTTTGCATAAAATATTTTCCATCATAAGTGTCGTTAAAAAGCCGTTTGTGAATACAAGAGAAAAAAAAGTAACCGAATATTTTTTTTGTATCCTCTGTCGTTAAGATGTTAATGTCATGTAAAATGTCAGTAGCGCGATATGTAAACTAAATAATTTTTGAAGCACAATATTTCGAAGAGAAGAAAAAACACCACGAACGTTGAAAAATTATTCATGTTTGTATTGCAATAAAAAAAACAGAAAGACGAAAACCATTAGCGAGACTTCTTGATCAATGCTCACCCCATTGGTTGCCCGGTGGTTTTTTCCTTCTCTCCCGTGGTAATTTTCAGTCCAGGTAGAAGATGTTGAGATTTTCGACCGAAGACTAATACAAAGATGAAAAATCATTTATTTATGTACGCTCGAAACGAAACAAACAAAAAATAAATCAAAGAAATATATCTTTTCTATTTTTGTACAGTGGCGATGCGGCGCAAAAATGCGTCTATGATGAATCATTTTTCCCCGTTTGCAATAAAAAAAATACACACATTTTGAAATTGAAATAAACAGTTGAATACACATAAAAATTCACCTCTTTTTCGCTTTCTCTCTCATATCTACCTCGTTTTCTTCGTCAATATTTTTTTTCGTGTGTTGCTGTTAACCGATTCCTTCCCGTATGTATGTGCAATATGATGAAATCGATAGTTAGGTAATAAACGTGGTGCACCTTTTATTTTGTTTTCATTTTTTGAATTTATGTTTTCTCTCTTTCCCTCATTTTTTTTGTTGTAATATTTTCTTCTTCTCTAACTTTCCTTCCATTTCACCGTTTCTTCCATTCATTTCATTCTTTCGATAGTTGTTACTCTCATCTGCACTGTCAGCGAGCGTACCCTTTCGAAGCGCGGAACAGGCAACAGAGAAAAAAAAGGATTAAGGTTAAAAATGCAAACATAAAAACCGATTTCAAATGTTG